CCAAATGATCCCGCTATGTTGCAGGTCTAAGACGACCTGCTGGGCCACTGCCCCCTTGTGACACTCCAACCATTCTCCCCAGGTAAGCATAAGCAGCCCAACTTGACACCCTGCCAGCCTCCTGCGGCTAATTGGGAAACCGAGTGTCCTGGTACCTACATCTAACCCACCACTCAAAGGCCAAAACTCCCTACTACAAACTTCCAAAAAGAGAAAAACTCTCTACTTCAACCAATAACAAAATTCCAGTTCCCCAATACTGTTCACTCTTACAATCCAATTGGAGGCACCACTGCACGCCCAAGTCCTTTCAAACCATTTGTGGCTTTTCCCCGAGATCTATCTCTGCTCATTCCTTCTGTGCCAATCTGCCTTGATATACAGCCTGAGTCTGGATCTTATCTGCAACTTGGTTATCGTGTCCGAGATGCCTTGCCCCTGGAAACAGGCTTGTTCCTGTTATCCCAGATAACAGAGCACAATATTGCTCTACACGCCTGCACTACGTAACCACATCCCTCTGTGAGAACCACCGGAGATGGGAGGCCCTGCAAGACCCAATCTCTGTCCCATTCCCAATCCCAGGCCGCAAAATCTTTCCAATGAACCGCCCACCAGGCCCAAATGCGTTTCGATGCAAGACAGTCCCACCATACGTGGGCTGTCGATTCAAAGGGCCAGGTACATCTTTTGCATCCCAGGTGAATGTCCATTCCTTTGCCTACTAACCAGACTGTGATGGGGTAATCAACAGGGACAGGAGCCACAACAGTGCGGCGTGCCTTTGGGACGGTAAATGTTTCAACTACGCCCACAGTCGACTCACATTTAATAACATTTTTTAGCTCGATCCTGGGATCTGTGTGTCCCACCGTTCTGCAGCCACCGTGGCAGGGCGTCTTTGTGGAAGCAACAGTTCAAAGGAGGTCTTCATTAAGGTCAAAGGTAACATGGACCCTTATATGCCGAGGCCTCTCCAACCCCACGCCTGTGTATTCAGTTTCTGTTCCATTACCGGTACATCATTATCTTTGCCCTCCCAGCTCTCAATAACCTTAATCTGCTGCAAGGGAATACCTAGCGACGACCTGTAATAAGCCAAATTTTAGTGTGTGGTCTGAGATACCTCGTCTTCTGAGTCATCCGAGTCAGAGCTGCTGTCCATGGGTTCATTGCAGAGCAAATACTTTGACCCTGATACCTTGTCCCATCTCTGGAATTCTCTGGTCCCAGAGGGGGAGTAAGAAATCAACTTCCAATACACTGGCGGGTCAGGGATCTCTCTGGTGACATACCAGGTACCCGGAGGGTCCACCGCCTCCGGAGCTAGGCGCTCTTTCCATGACCGAGGAATTGCAGAGATGAGGCTTCTGAGCTTTCCTTCGATGTCCTGTAGTTGACCCAGTGTCTGTTTAATTTCCTCTGTCGAGCGCCAACCTCCTGTCATTGCATTTCAGATGTCCCTGACTTGGAGGACTCCTCTGCAAATCCACTTTTCTCCAAACGCCCCTGGTTCTCTATTTGCTTTGAACGATTTATCCTGTGAGTCTCTGATACGCGGATTATCGAACATAGGTTGATTGAGGACTTCCATCGGTGATTGGCTCAGCCCATTCCACGGGCTTCACCTTCTTCCATGCGCTGATCACTCCCGCCCAAAAGTTAGACTTTATCCTTTTATTGAGAAAGGAGTCTAACTGGAGGCAGAGCCAGACATCTTCCTTCTGTGCAAGGTCCCATTCAGAGGCCAGAATGTGTTCGCCCATTTGCACCCAGTGTTCCGTGCCTTCACACTCGGACGCTTTGACGATCCAATTAGCCAACAACAAGCAGTTTCTTCGATGTGGATCGATGATACCTAGTCCTCCTTCTTCCCTGGGTTGCACAATCAGGGCCCATGCCACCTTTGACACAAAACCTCCATTCGCATCGCCTCTAGGTTTCCAAATAAACCTCGCCGAGATTCTCCGGGTTAATGCCAAAAAGGATGAGCTCAGCAGACGAACGGTACCCACATAGCTCAGAAGCGTGAGGAGGGATGCGTTAACTACCATGGCTTTGCCAAAGATCGAACGGTGGGGTGCTGTGCCCCAAGACTTGATCCTTGAGACCAGCCGGTTTTGTAGCACCTCCTCCTGAGCCTCCTCGCACTTCTCCATTGCGATTAGAACCCCCAAAAATCTCTCTGCCTCCCCCTTATTAATACGTCGCATACCCCAGTCCGCTTGAAGGGCCATTTCTTGTGGCAGGAAATAGACGGACTTGCGCTAGTTGATTGCTGCTTCTGAAAACAAGGAGTACTCGTCCAACAGAGTTTTCAAGGCTGTTAAAGTTGCAGTTGAGTTCTCACACACAGCGAACAGGTCGTCTGCAAGTGCCTTGCCTTTGCAGGCGGAGTGTTTGAGAGTCAAACCGATGATTTCCGGACGTCTTCGAATGTTACACATAATGACCTCCAACTAGATAACGAACAGGAGGGGGAGAACGAGAGAGAGGGAAGGGGTCCGATAGAAGTCCGTTAACCATGACAGACGTAGTGGAGTGTGTGTAGAGGATGACTACCCATCTACAGAAGTTGTCTCCGAAACCCATTCTACGCAATGTTGTTAGCACGAAGCTCCAGTTTACCCTATCATAAGCCTTCTCCAAATCTAACAATAGGATGGAGAGAGGTATGTCTTCCTTCTCAACAATCTCCAGGGATTCGATAGCCGTAATAATATTCTCGAGGATGGATCGACCCTGCACAAACGCGGCCTGATCCTGGTTTACTAGCTCCGGTAAGTACCTCGCTAGTCTCCTTGCTAGAGCCTTGGCCAATACTTTCTATGAGACATTCACTCTGGAAATAGGCCGCCAATTTCTGATTTCGTCCCTCGTCCCTTTCTTATACAGCAACGTGATCACTCCATAGCACATGCTCGGAGAGAGATTTCCCCTAGATAGTACATTATTATACATTTCCAGCAGCGTCGGTGATAGTTCAGACCAGAAGGACTCGAAAAATTCCACTTGTATTGGAGCTTTACCCTTTGACATAGTTTTTACTGCACACCTCAGCTCGGGCTCCGTCAGAGGGCGGTCCAGGTCCAACCGAGCCCCCAGGGACAGATGAACGTTCACTGCTTCCCAGAGGTCTGTCTATTCCTGTTGTCCAGAGTTCAGTTCGCCGAAGTTTCGTCTGGAAGTCAAAATGTCGCAGAAGTACATCTCTGCATAATTGCACATCTCTCGCGAGGTCGAAACTTCTAATACCTTATCGTCGAACGGGTGCTGGAGTGACTTCATCTCCTTGTGTGAGAATCCGGGGAGAGGCCTCTGGAACGTCTGTTTGGTCATTCAGTCACCTCTCGCTATCCCTTTTATTGTCAGTATCTCCCTCCACCTCATGGATTTTTTTTCCTAAATTTCATCCCAAATCGCCATCCTTTCCGCCCTTACCACTCCCCACCAGTGACTGTCAACCGATCGCAGTGGCAGGCTAACCGGCTTTTGCTCTGCTTCTTCTACGTTCTTCCTAGCTCTAGCTTCCTCCTTGTTATCATGCAACGCTAAAATCTTGGAAAAGACACTAAGCATGATAGATATAAAATGGATGCAGGCATCCCACCATTCTATTGTGGACAGGAACATAAGCTTCTTGGTACCCCAGGTACCCATGCGCAGACTCCTGGATCTCTGATTGTTTCAACATTCAGCCTGAAAATGCCCTTTCCACGTGTTGGGCTTTCGCCCCACAGGAATTGCATCACTACTGGATTGTGGTCGGAGGCCGGATGGGGTTGGGTAGACACTTCAACCGTGTTATTCCAAATGGACTGACTCGTCAGAAAAAAATCAATCCTTCGTGGGGTTACTCTACATCCTGCTCGAAGCTGTGAAGAGTACCATGTGAAACCTGGGTCCGTCGAGTTGGCCAGCCTATATGGGTCGGATAAATCCAACTGTGCCACTAAGTCCAACAATGCGTCTAAGTCCTTGCCAGCTCTGCCCGTGTGGAACAATGGGTTAGCATCATCCAGTGCAACATTCCAATCTCCCGAGATAATAATGTCATCGACATCTGGGAGGACATTTATCAGCGATTCAAAAAATTCCTTCCTCTCTGTGCGCTCTGTCGGTGCATAAATAGAAGCTATCGCCCAATCCCTACCTGCGGAACGCAACTTAATCCACGCCCAACGTCCCTGATGATCGAAGTCGTGGTCTAAGATCACGACATCTAAGTTTCGATGGAGTAATATCGCTACTCCCCCCCGAGACTCTACCGCCGGCGCCCACACTTGCAGGCCATCCCAACAAGCCCCGAGCGATATGATTTTTTCGTAATCCATCTTCGTTTCTTGCATGCAAAGCGCATAAATTCGATTTGAATGAATCCAAGACTTGATCCTAGACCTCTTATTTCTTCCCCCTATATCGCCTAACCGCCGAACATTCCATGTTGTCAATTTAAACTGCAGCATGGGATTCCGAGACTGGCCTAGATTGGATGCGGAGTGACGGGATGCTGGAGCCTGCAGGGATACCCGATCGGGCGCCCGTGTCCCATTTTTGCATGAGATAGTTTTGGAACAGCTCCGTATGCAGGGACCTTGCTTTAGGGATCTTCTGGAAGAGTGTTCCCAAGCATGAGGCATCACATGTCCCTAACAGGGTGATCTTCTCCAGTTGAGGGTGGTTCAAATGAATGAACCACTCTTTGGGGATCAGGCGTAAGCCGTGATTTACCAAGCGAACTAGGGCTTCCTGTGAGATTCCAGCATCAAGTGGAGGGGTGAAGAGTTTGGCCCTGATTCTAGGAGGCTCCATGAAAAAGCGGGGGGTAGGGATATCAGGGATATTCCTGACATCGATATCACTTCCATACAACCTACGAGCAATATTAAGGATGTCCGAAGGCATTGGAGGAGAAGAAATTGGCTGAGATGGAAGGACGGTCTCTCCATACAGCCTACCATGCTAACATGAACGTGCCCTCTACCGTGGCTACAAAAAGCAGAGGAAGGAGGTGTTTATCCCAGTCTCGTTCCCCACCCTTGGAGGAAGTGGCATGTCTTCTGTTTCTCTTCGAGGATCCTAGCGCCCCCTGCAACTCGTTACTTTGTCTGGGAGTTGACGAAGCGGACGACTCTCCATCGAGTTCTTCTTCAATACGGAAGGATCTCATATCCTCGCCGAGTCGTCTCCTTTGTTTCGTCGGTGTCGTTTCCTGCCTTTGACCCTGGTTGGAGCTCGAGGAGCGTGGTTAGGTGTCTGCCTTGCAAGGCCCGACGAATTGATTGGACTCTCTGCTCTTCCACCGTTCCGAGCTCCCTCGCAGGTGAGGTCAAGCCTCTCCTCGAATCCTTGTCACCGGAGGCGGATTTGTGATGACCGAACTTGCTGGAGGAGGTTAGCACGATGCCTCCATTGCTATTGTGAGGAGTTCTGGTGCCTGGCGAGAAGAAAGGATTATTGCGCACAAACATTCCTTCTGTCCTACCTTGGCTGGTCGTAGGGCCACCGCCCCCCAGAGGATGCAACGTACTGGAATACACCGGTTGTTTAAATCGTCTCCTCTCCACTCTGGAGCCCTTGGACGAGGAGGACTTCTCAGGTGATCTTGAATGTCTTCCGGTCAAACGTTGTGCCTCGGAGTTTCCTCTTCCTTGACTGCGGGCGCCATGTGAGCTCGATTGTTGACCTTCGCTCGCTGATGACGAAACACTTGGAATGAGACTCGGATCTCTTCTTCTCTGTTGCCTTGGGCAGTCCTCCACCAAATGGTAAAATCGACGACAACGGCTACACCACGGCGTTTGAGCATTTGCCACCTTGAGTTCTATGAGTTGCCCCTGGAACGTAATGAAAAAGATCGTTTCCTTCAACCTTGGTAGAGCTTCTAAGGCCATATCGATTCTCACGTTGATCAACTGAGGGGTTCTCGCGTCCTTCTCCGGAGGATAGACCTTCATGACTTGGCCGATTGAGTGTTCCACTGAAGATTCCAGATAACAATAGGCATCGATCGGAACGTCCAGAATTCTAAGCCAAAAATAGATTTGTGTCGTATCCCTTTTAGCATCTTGGATCTCTTTCTTTGTCAGCCACGGTTTGAAGGCAATACTATACCATCTACCTCGTAACGCCACCCTCGTTTCCTCTTCTTGAAGCATCCATTCCGTCACCCTGGCATTCTTCGCTATATAGGAAAGTACGTTGTTGGATTCAATGCACACTCGTCCTCGCGTAATCACCGGATCGAAACGCTCTTCGCCCATCCAAATGTCTTCGAATGCCCGGATTACCTCCTCCTTAATCTTCTTCGGTAGGTTCTTAGAACCTTCCTGGAAGATGACCGTGACTATACGTTCCTTCAACCACTTCACTTTGATCTCGTCCAGCGAGGGGTTCAAAGTGAAGTGAGCCTTGCTACCATCCTTGCTCAGCTCCCCAATATCCCACCCCGTCGGGAGGACTCTAATGTTAAAACACTTAGCCAACATGCCCATGACCCTTTCCTCCTCCGCCCAGTAATTTGTCTCAGCTGGGGGGGGGGATCGGTTCTGGGGATTTGCTGCTTCATCTTCTTCGTTATGCGGCTGCGGAGATGCTGCTGCACCATCAGCTCCAACCATGCCGACATCCCCTCCGTGAGGCTTAGGAGAGGCTTCGTCCATGTTGTTGTTCCCTCTGTCAATGTCCATGACTAAAGAATGTGAGTTATGCCTTAACTGGGCAGCTGCATAGGATCCTGAAGACGTATGCAAATAACTTTTAGACGAGATGGTGTTTATTTGAATTTGGTCGGAGTGGACCAATTCCGGAACAGAGGCAAGTTTCAGGGCTAACCTACCAAAGCCAGTTAGGCAGACATAGCTAGATCTTCGTGCTTCGTGTAAGCCCTCGCGTCAACGACGATGGCTGGGCGAGGGCGGTTAGGCCGGTATGCGAACCGGTGGCGGCGGGACCGAGCGCTGCTAGCGCCGTGAACCGGCGCCCCCCACGCATATTCAAAAATCAGTTTCGTGTGAGGTGAAATTGAGAGAAGAACATAGCTTAAAAAAAAAAAAGAAAAAAAAAAGAGTCCAGCCGGAACAGCCCATGTGCGGACTGGCATGGATGGTGTCGAGCAGTAAGTACAACACACACACACAATCGAGCCACGCCCTCGGGAGCATGGGCTAGGTACCACTTACACGAATTAAGCGATATTGACCGTAGATAGCACAGATCAACGGCCAGAATTTCTTAATCCGTGCAAGAGGGACCTTGCCCCGGGTACACCATGACTCTCACATCACGCCCTGCAGGGGTCTGCGCCCTGTTTTCCCCAACGCATAGACCCCGGAGGTCGCGACGTGAAAGCCGTGGTGTTCGCAGCCTGTCAGGTTGCGTTTTCCCCCCCTGAGACATTTCAATGTCAATCAAATTTCAACGTCGGGGGTCGTCGGGAGGATGGGCATTTTGAGGTTTTTGGGCCTTGCAAGGGCCAGGACCGCGTAGGACTGGTAGCTGCCCGTAGGAGGCCGAGTAGGCCGAGCAGGCCATTTTCGAAATTGAAACGGTGCAGGTCCACTTTTCACAAATAGTAAAGCTCCTCGAATAAAAAACGTACACATTGTATTCGAATATAACAAGTACCCTTTTTATTCGGATTTTGAAAAGAGAAAACTTGCCTATTCCAATAAAATTATTATTATTTTTTTTTTGAGGTCAGCGCCTGCCTTTGTGCTCCCCGCCACTGACATGCTGCATGCTGCATGCTGCAACTCTCTCTCTCTCACGCACGCACACACACACACACACACACACACACACACATACACACACACAAACACGCACACACACATACATACACACA